TACGCCCCTACCGGTACCGGTCCGTAATTTGCGGGATGCCCCTACCGGATTGCCGTTAAAAGCCAGCGGGAAAATTTTCGAGATGCCCCTACCGGTACCATTTGCTGCCAAGCCATTTGCTGCTATGTCATCTGCTGCAAGTCATCTTCTGCTACGTCATCTTATGCCACGTCATCTGCTGCCAGTCCATTTGCTACCAAGCCATTTGCTGCCACGTCATCATCTGCTGCCATATCAGCTGCTGTCACGGCATCTGCTGCCAAGAGGGCGTCTGCTGCCGAGTCGTCCACAACTGCCACATCTACTACTGCTTTCACAAATGCAGGGGCGGCTCCCTCTTCCAACAAACGAAAGGATGTTAGTGGTGGACAGTCTGAGTCAACGACGAGGGCAAGGGCGACCTCGGCGGGAAAGAAGAAGTCTGGGACGAAAATCAGGGGGCGGGCGTTGGCTCTTGCCAGTCCCTATCTCGTCTCATCCGAAGGTTACGGTCGATGGAAGATGATGATGAAGGAGGAGAGGGGTGTTGTGATGGCGGTGCCCTGGCTAGGTTTGTCAGGGTGTCAGGAGGTACATTGGGGGCTTACCTCTCCAATGAATACCCCGGACTGAGAAAATTCGTGGGTAGGTAGGGGAAGGAAACAAGCCCAGGTCACCTCGACAGATGCTGCTCGAGGTGTTTTTGTTGGGTTTTGATGATTTTTCGTTTTTCGTTTTTTTGACTTTATTTTTTATTTTTTATTTTTTATTTTTATTTTTTGCTTTTCGAGTGGTAGTCTTCGTTTTTGGTACGTTGTGCTATTTCTCTTCGAGCCTGTTGGGAGTTTTTTGTCAATCGATGCGGTGTGTTTCGCCGAATACAAAAAAACATGCGGGTTCGGCGCCGGTAGACACTGTAAAATAGTTAGATCGGGTTATGCGGGTAGAAAAATAGCAAAAGATATGACGCTAAGAATGACGATCTCCGAAGACTGTCTGAGAGGGAAGGCAGACGCTTTCGATTCGGACCGATGGCGAGAACGAAGGTGGAGGATCCGGGTATGGCGGAGTCAGGCATACAGGTACGAGTTTGGAAAGGAGTCGGGAGAAGTAGGAGAAGAGGGGGGAGAGAGACAAGGGAGAGCCAACCGTGGGAAGAAGAAGAGATTGTGGGAAAAGTGGAAGTGTCAGGGAAGATGGATGGGGCATTCGATTCAATAGAATCAGCCGTTGCGCACGAAGAATATCTATGCGTGGTAAGTATCCGGGTGGGATAGTGGAGACAGTAGGGAGGAGAAAGCCGTAGTCTGGGTGGGATGATGTGTATGGCAACTAAGTTTCGTCGTGGGTAGGTAAGAGTAGGGAAAAGATACGCGAGCAAGAGTAATGGGAAAGGTATTTAAGTCGAGCTTTGTCGGATTGTTTGACATCTCAACTCCGGTGTGATAGTGCCTCCTGATGAGCCTGCTGAGCGCGCCAGCAGAGAAACGCGTAGAGGCGAAGTGTGCTTGTGCGTATTATGAGATATCTTAAGAGTTGAAGTGATGGAGTTTTGAATAAACCAGCCTCGTGTCTTCTTTGCGTTGTGTGCTCTTCTTCTTCTTCTTCTTCTTCTTATTCTTATTCTCTCTCTCTCTCTCTCTCTCTCTCTCTCTCTCTCTCTCTCTCTCTCTCTCTAACAGCGATTTCGTCAAAACGGACATTTTTTATTTTTTGTACGAAATTGAAAGTCCACTCTGCAGCCAAAATTTGATGAAATTTTGGGTAGGGCGTTCTGAAAACGCCCTACACCCTCGATGTTTTTGGACTCAGCCAGAGTCCAGATACATGCAGGGGGGTACGGCGGTAGGGCGTTTTCAGAACGCCCTACCCAAAATTCCATCAAATTTTGGCTGCAGAGTGGACTTTCAATTTCGTACAAAAAATATAAAATGTCCGTTTTGACGAAATCGCTTTTCTCTCTCTCTCTCTCTCTTATATATATATATCACAGCCCCTCGTTTGTTGTCCTCTTCTCTCTCTCTGCCTACGGTTTTACCGGGCAGTTCTGTTTGTGACGATATATATATATCTATCACACACACACACACACTTGCAGGGAAGCGGACGATATGGCACAGGACCCGATGGAAATGCGAATTTGTGGTGCCTCATGGCTGCGGGGGCATTGCAGAAAGATGGCTGCCCGTCATGAGGGCATATGGCACACGGCCCGACCGTCAGTCCAAGGAGGGCGTCCTGGAAAGTTGCGGTCACTACCTACAAGGGCCTGCCGAAAATATTTTTTGGCCCAGGGGCGCGACAGGGTAAATCCGCCATCGGAGGGGCGCGACACGAAATAACGCAAATTACAGGGGTGCCAGACAAATTTTCCCTTTTTATTTTTTCAAACAGGATTTGCAGAATGGTGGACAGCACCGCCGATTGACCTCGTTCCTTCTTCTTTTTTTTTTCTTTTTTTTTTTTTTCTTTTTTTTCTTTTCTTTTTTTCTACTGATGGTTCGGCAGGTTCACCTACAGAGACCTTGTTACGACTTCTCCTTCCTCTAGATGATAAGGTTCAATGAACTTCTCAAAGCAATTGACCTCCTTTTCGGCTATGGTGCAACAGATGGACATTCTATCCAATCCTCAGTGGAAACGCACCCGAGGGCTCTGGATCCGGTAGGAGGTAAACTAGATAACAGAGGGCCTGCTATAGGGGTGGGACCCTATCGGAGTGACTTACCGTCAAAGGGAACAGGCGCGCAGCCCTTAGTTTCTATGGACATCTGTGTGTGTGTGTG